GGTATGGCAAACAAACTCAAGATTAAAGACTGTCACGACAATTTTTCTTTCAAAAACATTCAGTGATCTTACGGAAATTATTATTCACTTCCATTGATGATAAGTGTACGAAGAGTACCTCTGCTCAGACAGTAAATGGCAAAGAAAGTTATTTTAGGTAAACTCCACGATAAGTTTTGAAGCTGTGGGAGTTTGCTCGTTTGTTTGCTGCCATGGCGCGTGTAAATCAGCCATTTTTTCACAAAAGCACTAAAAATCAAATGAGACACGTTTACTAGACCCATGGGGAATTTAATGCGGCTCTTTCTCCTTGAATTAATTCGGCTTTTTGTCGTGCAGTTACTGTACAAAGGGTCAAATTGAACTGACTTGCAAAGACTTCCCGAGAGAGTATTTGTCATGTTTTTAGAAGACTGAAAACTTTGCTTACCGTTTCACAACAACAAAAAAATTGTTTGAGAGAATTTAGATATCAAATGAATGAAAGTTCCATCGATTTATTTAATTGAACATAACGATTTCAATGTGACAACCGAAAATGACCAACAGTTTAACAAGGGTGACCACCAGAGTGAAGACTGGGTAAGGCACCGTTCTCTCATTTACAGAAACTATACAAGAGACTGCAATTGTAGAGTTAGCCTCCACAGGAATACCACGAAGTGTTTAAGGTTTTCGACTAAACATCTCAGTGCTACACCATCAACCCCCCAGATGAACGGATGTATAAAAATTATATGCATGGCAACACGTAAGTAATACTAATCAAGAGGAAACTAGCGTTAGTGAAGTAGAAGCTCATTTACATAATGGATAGAGGGGGACATTAAATATTCAAGATAACACCTTTGGAAATGGAACTTTGAACAATCATCAAGACCCGCAGGATCCCTCGCGCAACGCGTCACATAACAAAAACCAGTCAAAATGAGAACACTTCGTCCCAAAAATATTATTGGCCAACGTCATGTCTCTTGTGCCAAAGATCGAAGAAGTATCCGAGTTCGCTGTGCTTAATGATGTTGATTTGGCATGTATTACTGACACTTGGTTGAAAGATCGCATAGTTAACAATGTAGTAGAGATCCCTGGCTACTCCATCATTCGCCGGGACAGAGAAGAGGTTGAGCACGGCGGGGATATTCTAAATACCAGCTGATCGATGAACTCAAATGTTGCGAAGAACAAGAAATTCTATGGGTCCATCTGAGGCCAAAGCGACTCCCCCGAGGGTACTCCTGCCTAGTTAGGGCAATTGTTTACCATCCTGATCCATCAGCTGAGAACGATAGCAGCATTCGGAACCACCTTTCTATTTCTCTGGCCCTAGCAGAGTCTATGTATCCGAACTGTGCATTAGTGGTCGGTGGGGATTTCAATCGCCTGAACTTGCAGCTCGTGAATAACCATTACCATCTTCGGCAAATTGTGAAAGTTCCTACACGGAATGCTACTTTGGATCTCATTCTTACAGACTTTGCAGCTCAGGCGTAACTATTTCAAGTGACCTATCTTGGAACGCGCATATCACAGAAGTGATAAAAAAAGGCAGCTAAGAGGTTCTATTTTCCCATCCAGCTTAAAAGAGCCCGCGTTTCTCAGAAAGATCTTTGTCTTTTTTACATCGCAGGTGTGCGCTCCGTTTTCGATTATGCTGTACCTGTGTTTCATTATGCTCTGCCTGCCTACTCAATGCAAGAACTAGAGCGCGTTCAGAAAAGGGCAAAGCGAATCATCTGCCCTGACATGGAATATCAGCACGCGTTAGCGCTAACGAACCTACCGTCCGTAGGGAGCATCATAGTGATATTTGCAAGCGTACGTTTGAAAGTATTTTCAATGATAGCAGCCATAAACTCAGGAAATTACTGCCACCCCTACA